GTAGTTCTTTAGTGTGTGTGTGTGTGTGTGTGTGTGTGTGTGTGTGTGTGTGTGTGTGTGTTATTTGTTTTCACTGAGAGAACACTGGCTTTGCTCGGGCACCTTCTGCTAAGACAACCCAATGCATGGCTATAGTCACTCGGCAAGGGACACGCTGAGTTACAAAAATAGCCTTGGTACTACCCTGGCCTGGGGTCTCCAGGAGGGAGACTATTCTTAGGAGTGTCTCTGTTCCAAAGGAATTCTTTCCCTGCCTTTTGGCCAAAACGATTTCTTTTTTTTTTTTTTCCTAAGAAGCACTTTGGAGAAGAGTCAGAACCCCAGACTGCAAGGAAGTGGCCAGTTAGGCCACCGGGCCACGCTCCAGCCACGGAGGCAAGCTCTGGCCTCTCATGCTCTCGACTCTTGGCCCTAGGATCCACTGTAAAAGGAGTTTCAGGAAGACAGGTTCACAGTCCGTGCCCCTCTGCTAAGGGAGAAGGGTGAGTCAGCCTGTTCTACCCTCTGTTGCTTTCCCACTCCAGGGTGGCCAGTCCAGGAAAGCAGGGAGAAGGGCAGGGGAAACGGTAGAAAAATAAACACTTCCTCGCATTTCACTGGGAACAGAACAGCTCTTCGGATTGTTAGAATCACACCGCCCTCCCCCGCTCCGCTTCCCCTCTCTGTGGAGAAACACATTTTCTCCTTACCTGATGAGAGTTCAGGGTGTATCCTGTGGAAAAACAGGAGCACGGTGTAGAAGATAAAAGCCAGGCAGCCAAAGATCACACCACAGACCAGGAAACTGTAACTGCCCTGGGCCTGGAAGATCTGCCAGAGAGGAACACAGAGTGGCCATTGAATTCCCACGTGACGGTGTACCGGAAAAATGGCTGCCTTGGGCCCTTGTAGGCTTCCCAGTCAAGTTGGGGCCACCCTACCAGACATAGGAATGTAGGGAGGTCTTCCCAAGGCTAGAGGTCTGGTGAAGACAGAAGTTCTGCCCTAAAGCGAGGGTTGGACCTGTCTATACCCCAAATATTCTTTCAGTTCCATGTTCTAGAACTTCCTGGAAAACTCCATATGCTCACTGAAATTCCAAACACATGAGATGTTTCTATACCCATAGGTCTAACTGAAACTTTGCAGAAGGTCTGTGTGTGTGTGTGTGTGTGTGTGTGTGTGTGTGTGTTTGTACTTTTAACTTGTGAAAATTTAGAGTATGTCAAAGATGTCAAAGTAGCAAATAGAAATTTCATAGACCACCAACTTAAGAAACCATACCATGCCGGGCGTTGGTGGCGCACTCCTTTAATCCCAGCACTCGGGAGGCAGAGGCAGGTGGATCTCTGTGAATTCAAGGCTAGCCTGGTCTACATAGCAAGTTCCAGGACTATATATAGAAACTGTCTAAAATTTTTAAAAAAAAGAAAAGAAAAGAAGGAAGAAATGCCAACTCAGACTCCAGACGTGGCATTTCAATGCAGAGGGCATCCACAATGTAACGCTTCCCCTTCATCGGGTTGGAGGGAGGAGAAAGGAGTCTCCAGTGGCTGGAGGGGATTCTGGAGGGTGCACCACCTAGGCTCCACAGCACTGCTGGCCGTTACTAAAAGCCAGCAGACCTAGGGCAAGCTGCTTGGTTATTTATGTTTCAGGATCCTGTGCTGAAAAAAGACTGGCGTCTCTGTTATGGTCGTCAAGGAAAGTAATGTGGATTTTGATTTTTGATTTCTTGGGAAACAAACGTAACATGGGCATGTTGAAGGAAGGGTAAGGGCGTGGTCAGAGCAGAGGGTCCCTATTAGCACGGCCACAGACTGGGAGACATGGACCTGGGCAGGATGGATAAAGAACACTGCCAGAAGCAGAGCTCACCATCCAGGCTCTGAGGGCCAACGGCATTCTCACGGGGCCCCCTGGCCCCAGGCCCAGACGGCCCTGTTTGCTTTGGATTCATGGATTCAGTCATTAAGGTCTCTACAGCCCACACTCAGAGGCCCTGGCTTTTGAGTCTGGCTGGCTTGGAGACAGAAACGGTTAGCTCCAGCTGGCGGGTTCCTGCAGGCTATGTGGGATTCAGGAGGTGGATAGCTTGCATTTAAAGGTGGCCGGCTGAATCTTCTCACCCTGCTTGGGGGAGTGCTCCCCAACCACCCACCCCCCAGGGAGGACCCCACCTACCAAACCAACCAGCATCTGCAGGACCATCTCGCCAATTCCTGCCCCGGTCACCAGCACGGTAGTCGCACAGCCTAACCAAAAGAGAAGAGAAGGTGGGGTGAGAGCAAGCTGAGGATGCAGACGTGTGCTATCAGAATCCAGAGCATTCTGGGATGCCTCTGGAAGGTGTAAGAGATCGTTGTGGGTTCCTACTAGGACTTTGATCTGTGACTACCTGATCAATGTTTCTCTCCTGCTATTCACGTGTCTCTTTCTTGTTCTCAAACCTTCAATCATTCACAGTTGTGTAACCTGCCATTCAGGGCTCTTCTCGGCCTGGCCACTGCCTGCCTTTCCAGAGAGATCTGAGACCTTCAGAGCTTAAACTTAGCATCAGACTTGGAGTCTAAGGCCAGTTATAACACCCCTTGCCATGTGCCCTTCAACACGTTGTGTGGCTTCTGTAGAGTGTGCTGGCCCAGGACAGACACTTGAAGGCAGGTCCCTCAACCTTCAGGATGAGTCAAAATGCTTTATGTATTTTTTCAAGGCCACCTCTCACCCTGCTGGCTCCCTTCAGCCAGGATAAACTGACATTATGGCTTGTGTTGCTGCCTGTCTCTGATGCGGCCCCTTACCGGCCCACTGGAGATTTCTCTCCCTCCGCCAGTTCATGTGTTGTGCCTGAGTTTAGATTTCCTTTGAGAACATCTTCCACACTCCCTATTGCCTAGGACGGCAGCTTCTCCCCTAGCCCTGACGGCCTCTGCCTGTTCCCGGCACATTCTGACCCACTAGCTGAGGGTCTTCCTTCCCCACCAGACACTATTCCAGGAGGGGGACCGCCTCTCTGGTTCCCTGACACATGCCAGAACTGATCAGTAGCACATCAGCAATCGTGCTATGAACTTGCAGGTAGGGAGCCCTGTGAGCTGCCAGGGATGCCAATCCAGCAAGAGCTTTACATCTTCTCCCATGCAGAGCGTTCCTACGGGTTGTTTTTGTGGTACGGATACTGCAAGGCAAGTGCTCTGCCATTGAGGTACAACCAGGCCAGCAGAGGTAGGCCGCCGCCGCTGCTGCCGCCTCTTCCTGCCTTCTCTTCCTTCTCCCTCTTCCTCCTCCTTTTTTTTTGAGATCAGGTCTTCCTATGTAGCCCTGGCTGGCCCTAGGACTTACAGAGATCTGCCTGCCTCTGCTTCCCAACCAAGCGTTAGGATTACAGAGTGAGCCGCCATATGACAGACAAGAAGACGGAGGCTCACTGAGAAGAAATGAGGTCACTCGAGGTCACAGACCTGCAAATGTAGAGGGGGCACTGACACCTGTGTCTGCAATGTCCCCAAAGCCTACCTACGCTTTCTCTTGTCCCCTTCTGTGTTGGAGAGGACGTAGCTTAGGTACAGAAGCCGTGAGATGGGTCACACTGCAGGGACAGGCCTGAGTCAGTGGGGCACAAAGGAGGGGGGGCACCCCTTTCCATGGAGATCAGAGATTCGTCCTGGAAGGGCACAGGGTGGGGGTGGGGGAGTTGATGGAGGCAGTCCAGACCAAGTGTGGTTATGGCCAAAGCATGGCGGCTCAAAGCAATTGCCATGCTATCAAAGGAACTCCAAGGACTTAGTGCGCCTCGACTGCAGGCCTGCCACTCAGAGGACCCTCTGCAGCGGCACAGAGAGTGGCCTTGTGACAGCCCCACACCTAGATGCTGTCAGAACAGGCCACCTCTCCACTCTGACATCCCACTCAGAGGAGCCTGGGCCTGGAGTTGCAGTGTGGAACTCCAGGGGATCCCAAAGCTGAGCCAGTGGGTCCGAGCGGGGCAGGACCAAAGGGCAAGCGGACAAGCCCAGACCTACGAAGGCAGAGGAGGTGACGCCAAAGGGCAGCACTCTTAGTAAATGACGAGAAAGGCTGAATTTCAGCCCGGCCCACGGGAAGTGACCGGGAAGATGGAGCCGAGTGGTCATTCCGCAGATGCGCCATGCCGGAACGTCAGTTCATCTCTGAAAACTGACATAAGGACATTGTTTCATCCCTTAATGGACCCTCTTGAGTTTAGAGTCTGAGTCCGTCCTTCGGTCCCCCAGGGAGCCGCCTCCCCTGCTGCCAGGATGAGCTGGGGGAAGGGACTGTGTCTCCTAGGCACGGCCCCCTGTTCTTCGTGATGTCCTCAGTAGCACACAGGCGTGTCCGAAGGATGGGCGCCGACACTAGCTGATGTTGTTTCTGCCCTCGGCTCCATCGGGACCAGGGCTGCTTTGGAATCACAGGGCAAAAGAACTTTCCCTGATTGGAGATGTGTCTCAGCCATGTGTCGAACCCCACTCAGAGGATCCAGAAGCCAGGAACTCAAAGACACTTGATTCTTTGAGTCACCCTTTCACATGAACTGTTTTTCTTCTAAGTCAAACACAGACAGGGTACTGTGCCAGCCACAATGTCAGCTGTAGCTCCATAAAGAGGACCATGCCGTTATTAGGAAGAAGAAGGACATAGACACATGCTGCGAGGCCTGAGAGGACACACAGAAAGACACGGACAGGATACCCATGACCAAACATGCCTGCTCTCATGTGCCAGCGGGTGTTTTGATTTTCCTGGTGGAAGTCCAGGCCTAGAATGCCACAGCAGGCTGGGAGCAGGAGAGGAGGTGGCCACCAGCTGCAGGGAGCATGCTTCTGTGTCCCTCCGCCACTCACCTTTGTACTGGAGGATGTCCTCCGTGTAGGCCAGCATGCTGGGGAAGGTGCTACTCAGAAACAGCCCGAGGCTTGCAGTCCCCACGAACAGGAAGATGACATTGTAGGAGAAAATAAGCAGGAGCAGGAATGTCACCACCACGCCCACCTGTCACAGCAGAGGCAGATGCAATTAGAGGGGGCACAGGGCATCTTGGAGGAAGGGATAGATCAGCCAGGCAGGAGCATTTGCACTGGCCCCAGGAGAATGGTGTGGCCCATGCGCCACCCTGTGGTCTCACTGATACCTGCACCATTCCTAATTCAGGATCTACACAGGGAGGTGAGCCGGACTGCAACCACACCCTCCCACCCCCAGCACCCGGGGAACGCAGGGAACAGGCTCTGCTGGCCCCCAGGGTCTTCCATGAGCCCAGGTCATCAACATTCCCCCTCCTGCTGGTGGAGGTGGGCTAACGCCCCGCTCCTCTGTGAAGTGTCCTTCTCTTTCCCTGACACCCGAGTTCCAGGGTCCAGAGTGAGGAAAGCCTTGAGCCGGCAGGATGGGTGGTGGACATTGGGTCCCCAACCTCTGGGAATCCAACACAAGCACCCAGGAGGATCAATAGCTGTGGAAACCAGCTCGGTGCCTCCTAGATTTCTCTTAAATCCCATGGCTGGAGCTAACAACTGGGTAGCTCAGACTGCATGCTCAGAAATCCTTGTGGCTCAACCAGGTCTGTGCCCCACAGGCAGAGTTTTGCTAAAATCACCCGGTTTCTACGCTCTTTCAAAATGTTTGTATGTAAACGTTGAATGATTCCTCTGCAAAACCCATCTGGGAAGAGAGCGGAGCAGAACAAGGGTAGGAGTCTGAAGCCCGAGGTGCAGGTCCACGCTGAGTGCCTCCCAGTGCCTCCCCGGAAGTAGCTCTCTCCAGGAGCCCTAGATCCACCATCTTCACAGCAGCGGTTGGCAAGGGGCCGGTGGTGAGATGGCATGAGCTGAAAGTGCCGAGCTTCCAGCAAATGTTCCACGTCTCTGGCATTTCTGGGTGGTTTCTCCACCCACCCCAGATGCTGGGAGACAAACCCAGGGCTTGGCGCACGCTTGCCAAGTACTCCGCCGCTGCTAAGCTACGGCCCCAGCCCTGTGCTCTAAAGAAGCTTCGTGTTCTGTACCAAGTCCTAGCTTTGATGGGGAAATGTCCCTGGGTTTGGGGCTGTGCATGTAGATCAGTGTTAGAGCACTTGCCCTGGGTGCCCAAGGCCCTGGGTTTGGTCCTCAGCACCACAAAACACAGTGTCCTAGGAAGTGTCTATATATCTATTTCTAGGAAAATAAATACACAGACCTACAAAATCATGCAAAAAATCACAACTAGTCCCAAACCCACTCCTCCATTCACAGATGAAGGACTGGACAGGCTGAAAGGAAGAGACCTTCAGAGGGTCACAGCAGACCTTGGGGGATTTTGCTCCCCCTGGAAGAGGGAGCCTAGTGACCCCAGCACATGAACCCCATTAGCTCTGCCTCAAGATGGCTCAGAAGTGAGGTGTTCTCGAGTCACACTCAGGCCTACCCTTCCTGCCCTAGAGAAACTCATCAAAAAACAGAGGCTGAAGATGAACATGTCCCCTCCCCATGGGGAGGCAACTTGAAGAACGTCTTTCGTGTGGTAAAAATACAAAGACAGTGGGCTGTTGTGGCACACACTTGTAATCCCAGAGCTTAGGAGTCCGAGGCAGGAGGATTCTGAGTTAGAAGCAGCCTGAGCTACACAGTAAGACCTTGTCTCAAATAAACCAAACAGAAACAGAGAAGCGGGAGCTGAGAGACCACCCAGCAGTTAGAGAGCACTGGCTGCTCTTTCTGAGGACCTGGGTTCGATTCCCAGCACCTGCACGACTGCTCACAGTCATCTATAACTCCAGTTCCGGGGAGTCTGATGTCCTCTTCTGGCCTCTGTGGGCACCAGGCATGCAAGGGTCACTCAGACATACATTGAGGCAAAGCACCCACACACAAAACCCCGGAACTCCACATAAAGGTGGAGAGAGAAAACCAACTCTCCAAAGCTGGCTCATGACATTAACAATATGCCCAGCGCATAGACTGGATCATAGACCAGGACACCCCAAGAGAGCCAAACTAACCCCTTTCTCTTTATAATTACCTGAAGCATGTCGCTGGAGTGACGGAGGGCCCCATCCTTGTGGTCGCTCTAGGCCTGTCCTTGATCCCTGTTCCCTTCCTCCTCCACTCAGAGAAGTCCTGTCCACTCTGCCCCATGAAACATCAGGGAACCTTCCTGCCCAGTCCTGCCCACACCTAAGCCCTCTTTCCCTCAACTATTCTGCAAGAGTAAGCATCTCCCTGACTACAGCCAGACGCATTTTATTTACTGTTTATTTATTTAGAGACATGTTCTCCCTATGTAGCCCAGGCTGACCTTGAACTCAATCCTTCTGTCTTCTCCCAAGTGCTGGGACTGTAGGGGTGTACTGCCACATCTACCTGGGAGGTCTTTCTTTCTTTTTTAAGTTTTTTTTTTTTTTTTCAATTGTATGTGTGTCTGGGTGTTTTGCCTGCATGTGTGTCTGTGCACCACATGTGTGTAATGCCCGAGGAGGACAGAAGAGGGCATCAGATCCCCTGCAACTGGATTTACAGCCAGTTGTTAGCCATCATATGGGGACTAGAAATCGAACCTAGGTCCTCTGGAAGAGCAGCCATCTCTTCAGCTTGGGAAGTGCTTTCTTACAGTGGATTTCCTAGAAAAGTAGTGAGTTCCCAATCCCTGGAGGTATTTAAACAGAGACTGGCAGGGATGTCACAGAAGTGGTCCAAGCCTTAGTGGAAATTTGACCTAGGTGTACCCTAGGGGTTCTGTAATCTGGAGTCCTTTGTCATAGATGGTGACATGGACATACATCAGGACATGAACCTTTAGCTATTGCTTGGCCCAGACCCTGTTCCCAGCCAAGCCGGTTCCTTTGCCTGGCTACATGCTAGTCTGGTCATCTAAGAATCTCCTAGAGAGCTGCCAAAGGCAAATCCCCAGTCAGAGCAGAAGCATTGACCCCAAAGCCTGGCCCCACTGCCTAGAGGGCTCCAAACAGCCGGACACTGTGAGCAGTGCAGGAGGTCCAAGGCTGAGACCTACATCCCTCGGGCGATGTCAGCTGTCCGCGCCACACTAATCACCCACAGTCTCCTCTACCGATGCTTCTAACGATGTAAAATCAGAGGCCCAGACAGGGGAGGGGACTTTTCCAAGGCTACACAGTAGCTCCTCTTCCTTGATCTCCATCCCTTACCAGCATCTCTCCTCCTCCATTCCTACCTCCTTACTGTTCCAGCAGAATTCAGTCCTGAACAAATGTCTTGGGCAGTGGTAAGGCCAGGGATAAACACATCCTGTGTTTCTAATAAGGGAAAGGAGGCCACTTGGCCACTTACCACATTGATGAACACCATGGTGGCTGGCCTCATTCTTGAGGAGACAGGGATGGAGATGAGCCGGCCCAGGGTGATGAAGCCCCAGAAGAGGCTGGGGAGGTAACCAGCCATCTTGTGTCCCACGGACAGTGGCCTCTCCACGGCATAGCTGTACACAAAGGCAGAATAGGCGCCCTGTGGAGAGAGGAGAGAGCAAGCCTCACTCAGCACGCCAATGCCTCAGCTGGGACAGGCTGGGGAGGGCGGCTGAGGCCAACTGGTCTTGTCCCTAGTGGCTCAGCCCAAGATGCCCTGGGAGCTAAAATCACATGGGACACTCACACACCAGCCGAGGACGGAATGGGTGCCACAGCAGCACCTGAGATGTCACCAGGTCCCCGTGGAGAATCTCCACAGGGCTTGGGCAGACAGGCATGGCTAGAAGGAAAGGGCTTCTTAACCTCTTACTTTACGAAAGAGAGGAGACAGAGACAGGTCCACATCCACCCTAGAGTGGTACAAGTCGGGCAGGTCTGCCGTGGGCTGCGTGCGGCATGTGAAGAGGGCCTTCTCTTAGGAGTGCCCCTCCCACCGCGGTCAATCACTCAGGCATCCAAGACTCCCCTCACAGAGAAGAGTTCTGGAAAGGGCACTAAACAGAGTAACAGAGGTCACCCACTGAATGGACAGCTGGCCTGGGAAGCCCCATTTGTGGCTCGTGCCAAGAAGCCGAGTGCACCCGAGTTCATATAGCGTGGCCTCTCACAGGGCAGCGGGGCTGTGAGCTTTCAAAAATGTGGGTCACCGCTGGGGATGGTGCATTTGGGAGAAGGACCAAGAGTTCAAAGCCAGCCTAGGCTACATTTGATCTTGGCCTAAACAAAGCAGCTAAAACTGAAAAACCTTGGGCCACATAAAAGTGGAAGTAGAAGCCGGGCGGTGGTGGCGCACGCCTTTAATCCCAGCACTCGGGAGGCAGAGCCAGGCGGATCTCTGTGAGTTCGAGGCCAGCCTGGTCTCCAAAGCGAGTTCCAGGAAAGGCGCAAAGCTACACAGAGAAACCCTGTCTCGAAAAACAAAACAAAACAAAAAACAACAACAACAAAAAAAAATTGTCGAGAACAGAACAGAGTCCTGGTGCTAAGGGGCTGTGGGCACTGTGGGAGACGGGCAGGACACTGGTTCCCTGCACTGTAGGTGACGTCCTGCGGAACCTCCATGGGCTTCTCTCTCCTCTTGCCAGCCCAGACTCGGGGATCAGGGTAGAGGCCTCTCAGGAGAGATGCCTTCGGAGGAAGGCTCACCATCATCCCGTCTGTCATGAACAGGACCAGAGCGGCTGTGATGTGGATGGCGAAGAAAGAGCACGGGGCTCCCCGGAAGTTCTTCCTCTGGCAGCAGCTGAACAGGTCCTCCTGCCCTGGAGAAGGGGGCACAGGAGGGCGGAGTCCACCTCTGCTCCCCTCCCTCTGCTCACCCGTTAAGAGAGTCGGCCGGGGCTGCTTGCTGCCTCCACCTCTTCTAGCTTTCGGGCACCGGTGAGGCGCAGCCGCTGTCCTTGGCCCACTCCTGGTGGAACTAAGGCTCAGAGAGGCCCACTGACTCCCCTAAGGTAACCCAGGAGAGACGGGGGAGGACGGAGACCGCCTGCCCTTTTTATTGTCTCGGCCAGGCGGCTCCATCACTTACCGTACGGGACGACCAGGACCAAAAGACTGTTTCTGACCGTGAGCACTGGGGTCTAGGGGCATCTTCCGGGTGTGGGGTTACTAGGGCGGCCAGAATAGATGACAAGAGCCCGCACCTGGGTGTGACTGAAACTTGGGGGCCAGTGAGGAGGTGTCTTCCTTCTCAGCAGGCCGGGTCTCCAGGGCAAGCTCGTCCGCAGACAGGAGCAGTGGCTTCCGCTGGGGGCAGGTCAGCAGCCGCTCCTTGGACAGCAGGAACAGGACCGCCAGGGGCACTGGGAGCTGAGGGCAGCAGAAGGTCAGGGGGGCCTGGCCTGCGGCGTCTGGCCCATGCGGCAGGCTCACAGTCCAAGGTGCCCACCTCACCTCACCAAAGAGCCTCTGCCAGCCCATGAGCCAGGCCCCTGGATACCAGCTGGGCTTGGTGTGAGCACTGCTAGCCTTGGCCACACCCATCTCTCACAGGAGACAGGGAGGGAAGCCTTGCAAAGCCTGGACTTGACAAGGGACCTCTGCTACTTAGGCCGGGTGCTGGGTGTTATTCCCAACACCCTTTTGTTCCCGATACTGCTACAGCACAGTGCCTCTTGTTTCTGTATGTCACCGCTCTGTAAAGTGTGCCTGGGGGTGGGAGTCTGGAAAGATGGCTCAGCAGTTAAGCGCACTTGCTGTTCTTGCAGGCGGCTTGGATTTAGTTCCCAGGACCCACATGGTGCTTCACAACTGTCTGTAATTCTAGTTCCCGGGAGGCGACACCCTTTTCTGGCCTCCTCGGTCACCAGACACACACAGGGTACACGTCCATGCGGGCAGAGTACTCATACACATCATGTAGTTTTTGAAAATGGCATTTGGGGGCAGAGGATGTGGCTCAGTGGACAGGTGCCTGTCTACCAAGCACAAGGCCCCCAGGGTCTAACTCTGGTACTATCGAGGGGTGGGGAAAAATGTGTTGAAAAGATTTTTTTTTTTTAAATCACATTTTCCAGATGGGACAAAGGAGGTTCCAAGTTATTATACAGCCACATACTGTTAGGACTGGAAGAGATCCGGGGTGGGGGGTGGGGGTGGGGTCGACTAGACACACAGAGTGCAGCATTCCCACCACACGCCTGGCGCTGGCATTCTGGTTCCGGCCTGCATCTTCCTACCTCTGGGCTGCTGGAGTGATGGTGTATCCTTGGAGGGTACCGAGCTCTGCTAGGAGCTGGATGACTAAGCTAGAAAATACAGGCACGGGGAAGTGCCTGCCCCCCCTCCCCCTGCCCAGCTCTCTGCTCCTCACACTGTGCCTCTTAGTCCCAAGGGTGCTCACTAGTCCAACAGGAAACTCCTCCTACTTCTGAGGTTGCCTGGAGAAGCAGCCACCGGCTCCCCAAGGTGTCCCTGCCCGGGTCCAATCACCTTCACCACCAGGAAGTTCTTTATCGAGTCTAACGGCTATCCTTCCTGCTGGGGCTGTAGCCTGGGTCTTTTTCTTAGGAAGGAGACGCTGAAAAGTCCCGGAAGTGTTTCAATGTAGCCAGCTGCTAGGCCAGGCAGCCGTGGAAGCTAAGCAGACAACCAACCTGGCAGTGCCCTGCTCTTAGGGAGCCCCTTGCACCCCCCCCCCCCAAGAAAGGTGGCTCCCACCAGCCTGAAGAGAAAAAAAAAAAAAAAAAAAACAAAGCACCCAATCCCATGCTGACATTTCCCTATGGTGATCTATTTCAACACTCAAAAGCCAGCCAAGGTCACCATTAGGTGTGGTGCCACACACCTGGAGTCTCAGCCACTCAAGAGGCAGGAGTTTAAGATCAGCCTGGGCAACACAAGTGTAACCCCAACCCCCAATCTGCAAACACAGGGTCAAGTTCAAACCGCCAGGCTATGAAGCCACAGGGGGGCGGGGGGTGGGGGCTGCAGGGCAAGAGACCTGTGTCCCTATGCTGCGGAGACTCAGCCTGCCCTCCAGTAACTGGAGAAACAGGAAGCCCACGTGGAGGAAGCTTCGGCAGCAGAACATCTGAGAAAAGGCCAAGGGGAAGCAGCCAGACTCAAGGCCTGGCGCTTAGGCGGCCTTTCTAGAGAGGTGGGTGCAGGGAGAGGCTTCACCACAGATTGGCTGGCATGCTGGCAGGAACATACCTCGCTTTTACAGGAATTCCATTCAGGGACGCCAGTGCCACTTTGGAAACCAGCCAATGCCAGGCAGGTGTGTGTGTGTGTGTGTGTGTGTGTGTGTGTGTGTGTGTGTGTGCATAAGGAAGCCAGTCCATTCACTGCTGTATTCCTTCGGTGGTGGGCTATTTATGTTCAGACGCAAACAAATAGGGAAATTCCCAGAAATCTTGTAGCAAGAGGACCCAGGTTCAATTCCCAGCTCCCACATGGCAGCCTCTCCAGTCTGCACCTTCATGGGAAGAACTGAGCCTGGGCCTGTGCAGGGTTTTCTGCATGCAGAGTCATAGCAGGAATTGTTCCTAAGCAGGGAACCCTTGGAGGATACAGGTTCAAAGCTGCCTTTATCCAAAATGGTGGCCATGGGCATAAAAGGGACCGAACAGAGGGAACGTGGTGCCTTGCTGAGGGCCTCACTGACTTCCAGCCCAGGGAAAGGAAGGCTATTTAGGAGCAGGGCTCTACTGAGACTAGGCCTCATTCTAGCTCCGTATCAGGACCTTAGGCCCATGAGGTGGGACAGACACCCTTCTGCATGCCCAGGACTACTATGGTGGGGACTTAGGGACCTTTCAACGCCACATGCAGGCGTTCCTCTGAAGCCAACTGCCTCTGGAGGACAGGGTAGGCCTACTGCAGAGAGGCCCCAGGCCAAAGCGAGAAGGCCCACACAGGAACTCTATCCCACACACAGCCAGACTATTGGCCACCTGGAATATTCTCACTTCCAGTCCATGGTGGGTCAGGACCGGGAGGCCTGGTAACTAAGATGGCTTGAACAGTTACTCCCAAGCCTGGTGGGCAGGGGGACCCCACTCTCCCCTGGGTTGACAGGGGATCTTCTTGAGTTGTCGAGCTGTGGAGTTTTCTAGGTAGAAGTCAGAATCAGTGCTGACTTGGCCAGGTGCACAAAAGGGGCCTGAGTGGCTAAGCTGGTTGGGGTCCGTGGTCTCTATGCTGTTTAGTTACTTGTTAACTTGACCCAAACTGAGAAAATGCCCCCATCAGATTGGCTGGAGGTCATGTCTGTGGGGCATTTTCTTAATTTATGGTTGACGTGGGTAGTGATGTCCCTGAGCAGACAGTCCTGGGTTGTTTAAGAAAGCAAGCTCAGGGGGCTGTAGAGAGGATGGTTCAGTGGTTGAGAGAGCACTGGCTGCTCTTCCAGAGGACCCAGGTTCGATTCCCAGCAACCACATGGCAGCTCACACCTGTCTGTAACTCCAGTTCCAGAGTTTCTGACACCCTCACACAGACATACATGCAGGTAAAAGACCAAGGAACATAAAATAAATTACTTTAAAAAAAAAAGCCACGGGGAGTAAGGCAGCAGGCAGCGTTCCTCCATGGTTTCTGCTTTTTAGTTCCTGCCTGCTGGTTCCTGCCCTGGCTTCCCTCCACAGTGGATTAGAAAGTGTAAGGCAAAATAAATCCTTTTCTCCCCAGTTATTTTTGGTGTTTGATCACAGTTACAGAACCAAACTAGGATAGTCTCTCTGCCATTTCTACCACAGCTGACAGGCCTGTCACTCCAGGGAAGCAGGAACCTGAGAAGCAGGGCCGAGGAGAGAGATCCCCATCAGTGACGAAGAATTCCAGGGAAGAAGTCACTATCTGCATGGCCTCTTGGTCATGGAGGAACCCATAAGGTTTTCTACAAGGCCTCAGAGAACGTGGAAGCTGACCCTGATTTCCACTGTGTAAACATACCCACGGCCTTTCTCTCTTGAGAACTACCAACACAGAGTCACAGTGAGGGGGACCTTGGAGATGATTCCTACAGGCCACTTCTTCCTTCTGGCTGCACACCACAGTCCCTGGCATGTTTCTTGGGTTTGAAGATTCTGCACTGGGAAACTGGACTAGGAGGCATGTACTATCCCTCCCCCCCCCCAGCTCCCTATGCCACCTGCACCAGTGACACTTACGTTGATGAGAGCCATGATCCAGAAGGCATAGGATACGTGGTTCTCTGTTGAATCCTTCGGGGATGGCCCGGGGATCGTCTGGTTTGACCAAGGCTGGGTTGTTGCTTGATGCTGGCCCAGGACCCTGGATGCATGGAACAGATGGCTTCTGGAGGAGGCATTGGCTGTGCTGTTAGCAGGAAAGCAGTTGGCCTCTGACAGGAAGGGATCAGCAATCAGGGGGCTCAGCAGAGCACCAAAGCCCACGAAGAAATGGAGGACCTGGGTGGGGGGTGGGCACCGCTCAGCCTGGTTCAGGACTTGCATCCAGAGGGTGCAACCTCCCTTCACCTTTACCTTGTGCCCCTGCCTGGCCCTACGGTTGGGAGGAAGACTCGGGAAGCAGGAGAGAGAAGGAAGAGTGTGAGAAAAGCCCCCTGGCACCATGCTTGATGCCTGGGGTGACCCTGTGACGGGAGCCAATCCTTCCGTCCCCTCTCACTTCCCCAGCTCGTTCCCACGGGTGCTGTGCCTGGCATGGTGGCCAATTTCATCCACTTGACTGGATTAAGACACACGTAGGGCACTAGGAAAACATCCCTCTGGGGACATCTGTGAAGGCATTTCCAGGGAGGCTAATGAGGGAAGACCCACCCAAATATGGGTGACACCATCCCATCAGCTGGGGTCTGAGACTGGGTGAAAAGGGAAAAACATCCAAGCCCTGGCATTCCCCTCTGTTTGCTGATTGGTGCCTAGGACTGTGCCATTCCTGACACCATTCCTTCCCCACCATCACGGACTGCATCCCCCTGAACCGCGAGCCAAAATTAACTCTCTTCTCTTAACTTGCTTCATTGGGTACTTGGTAACAGCCACATATGCTGGGCGACTAGAAGGAGAGAGGAGAGGCGGAGGAGAGAGATGGGAGAGCGGACCTCAAGCCCTCAGTAACACTGCCTTCCCTCGCTAGAGAACTTCTGTTACCACTGGGGTTCCTGGGAGAGGCCAACAAGGCAGGCAGAGGCCACCCCTGGAGAGATGAAGCAAGCCGAACCCAGGTATTAGGTTACTGGCGATGCGTGGTCCAGCTAGTAAGTGATCGGGACAGGCTGAGTCACCACCATCCCTGGGGAGGGCCTGGGGAGTTCCCGGCACTCTGCCCACTCCCCAGCCTCCCCCGGGGCAGCTCACCTGAAGGAAGAAGGCTGAGTCCTTCTGGTATATCCTCACCAGCTGCATGTTGGCCACGGTGTCGATGCAGCCCATGGCTAGGCCCGCCAGCGCCATGACCGAGGCCAACACCTTCACATCATGGCAGAAGGGGATGACAGCAAATACCAGGGAGATGGCCAGGGTAGAGGTGAAGAGGGCCCATAACGACTGGGCCAGGCTGGGCAGGGGAGAGCTGGAGTCAGCAGAGGAGCTCAGAGCCTTCCTGGAAGGCTCCTCCTCCTTGCCTTTGCTCTGCTACCAGCAGGAAGGGAACCGCTCACAAGCTGGTGGGTCGCAGGCAGGTGGGTGAGTAGGCTCGTGTCCTTAAATGCAGCAATGGCTTCTCATGGCTGCCATGAGGACACCAGATGTCACACTGGTGCTCACAAAGCTCGACTATCATTTTATGTTGCTAAAACCTTCAATTATTCACTCTAAGTAATTCTCTATGAAACAATATTCCTGCCCCTGTCAGGGAGGCTACTTGGAGCGTCTTCAAGGGAACAGCGCCATCCATATATCTACGGATAAGGCTTGGGGACCCAGGGTGAGCCTGAGTCTGGAAGTCCTCAGGTGGGCAAGAATAGGGTCGGGTATATGTGGCCTTCACACAGGAATTGACAAGAGCTGTGTTTCCCGGCAGAGCCAAGCTGCCAGGAGCAAAGCCATAGCAGAATTTGGTTCATGTAGTGACCTCTCTGCACGGACAGAGGTCAGGGGCTATCCCTACTGAGACCAGTCGGAGCAGCTCCCAGTTCAGACAGACATCAGAGCAGCCCTCCGCATTCGGAGGGCTGTCCCCATGAGAGATCGATGTCACGGTCCTTTTGGCAGTGAATTCCGCCTGATGACCAAAGGCTGGTGTGTTTAGGACCACTCTACAGGCTAATGTGCTGTGTTGTGGGCAGAGCTTGGGCAGCAAGAAGGTTCTGGAGGCTGTGAAAGAACGTCCTCAGATTATGAAAAGGGAGAGGTGGGTCAAGACCACCTCTGAGCTTCCGGAGCACTGGGAGGGCAGAGGGGATCCTCAGAGGTGGAGCGGATTGTCTTTTCAATCCAGCACTTGCCTCTGATCCGCCTGGCATCAGCCACCTCATCTGCTTGTATCTGATTAGAGCCTTGATCAGAAGACTTCTGTGATAGCAGCTGTTCATTATTTTGTTATTTTCTCATTTCCAGGCTGATCTGTTGAGATTACTGTTCATGACCCCTGTCTGTTCCCACTCAGTTAACCTGGGGGTAGACGTGCTTCGAGGCTGGGCTGAAGAGGATGGGGGGGGGAAGGGTGGCTGCAAGGTGGGTGGTCTGTTCAGGCTGCAGTCTGGCAGCTCTCCCTTGGTCCCCGCTCTGACAGTCCCCAGCCCTGACCACCCAGCTGCCCTACTTGGGTGCTTGCTTGTGTTTCTGCGTCCTGATACTATGTGATACCACGTCTCATTTGCCTCTTCCTCTGGACCCAGTACAGAGGGGATGGATGCCTACGCACACAAGGCTTGATGAAAACCATAGACCTTTCCTTTCCACGCTCTCTCTCCTCCCACGCGTCCTTTCCTTGTATAAGACAGGCAGGCAGCCTCTTGCAGACCAGCTTCTGTGTGTACCTGCACCCATTACCACAATCTCACTCACCAAGTCAAGAACAAATACTCTGAAGAATTAGTACATTACAGATTCCGGCCATGCTCGCGCTCTGAGGAAGATGCCAGCCACCCTAGCGCTCTGAGGTAGATGCCGGCCACCCTAGAACTCTCAGGCAGAAGGAGGAAGGTGGAGAGTTCAGCACAGCCTGGGCTACATGGCAAGACCATTTATCAAAAATCCAAAAGAAACCAAACAGTTGTGGAGAGCTGGGAGGATGCTCAGTGGTAGACTGTGGGTCTAGCGTGTGTCTAGCGGCTTCCTGGGGGTGTGGCTTGTGTGGAGTAACGCTTCAATACAGCACTCAGGCTTGTAGCAAAATCCTGAGGGGATGGGACCTAAGACCAATAAGCTGTGACGGAAGAAACCACAGAGAGGTAGGAAAGGGAAGGACTGGGTAGGTAATGCCTGGCGTTACCGTGTGCGCGAAAGCCACTGAAATCCGTTCACGGTGGTACAGACTTTTAGTACACATGAGAATACCCTGAGACGGGCTTCATGCTTGTGCCCATTTGCCCCACGAGTGAACCCAGGCTAGGAGGAAGCAGACATGGATAATCCCTTCCCTGTGTCTCCTGCCAGAACTTGGGCTGTGGTTGGAGTCTAAGCCACTGGAGTCTGGAAGGATGACCCCACATGTGTTCTGGGTTCTTGGGCCAAAGAGTAGGCCAGCAGCTCACTCTTCCAGGTGCTATAGGGCTAAGTGTGGGCATTCCAGAAATCCTTAGAAGGATACGTTGTTCCCAGGGCCAGACTAAAGTTTATGCATTGCCCATTTTAAATGGCTGAGGCAATAGCCCCTTTCAGGAATGTGGGTAACCAAAGATTGCAGGGTAATAATGTTAAAAAGATTTTGACATCAAAGATGCAGTGGACTGTGCGGTTAAAACGCTTGGTTCGAGGCTCACCTCTGGTACTGCCCAATGTGTGCCCTGTGGCAAGCCACTACCACCCAGCCCCTCTTGAGCCTCAGTTTCCCCCACTCTAATTGGGGATAGCAAGTGCTCCATCTCAAGGCCTCAGGCAGCTCCCTCCCCAGTGTTCACCCCTCCTTGCTGCCCGGGGCTTCCTCAACATCAGTGCGGAGCCCAGGATATGTGCCAGCAAGAAGAAGGACCAGCGCCCACGCTAGGCTTCTTCCCACCTTTCTCATGAGTGATCCTGGGAGACTAATCCAGGAATATCCCAGGAGCCCACTTCCTGGCTCCACACAGCGAACCAACTAGAGCAGCTCAGCTAGAACCCAAGAGAGCTTCTCACTTGAAAGATCGGGAAACTGAGGTCTAGCTGGGAAGAGAGTAGCGCCCAGGGTCTTGACTCCCAGCGGAGGCAAACATCCAGCAGAGTGCCATTGAGCTGCCCTCCGCTGGAACTCAGATGTGAGTGTTAACGATCCTCCAAGGCCTAAGAAACCTATGCCAGGAAGCCTGATAAATGGTCAAGTTACTTATTAATGGCTCCACGTGAAGCTGTACGTGGGAGCGGCCAGAAGGAGGGGCCAGCGTCCTCTCTGGGGTTGGCTGTGACTATGGTGGCTTTGCCTGCTGGGCCACCTGGGCTATGTGACCTTGAGTAGGCTGCCAACCCCCTCTCAGCACTGGTTGCCAGGTATACGTGTGACCACCTTGGTGTGTCCCTGCCTCGGGCACCTGTTCTTGGCTTCCTGGTGCTGTGAAAAGAGGCGAGACGTCATGGCTCTACACAGGCAGGGCCCGCTCCTGTTCTCTGTGCCCAGCTGGGGAAGAGATCTGCTGAGGCCATGCTGCCTGGAGTTGCCCCAGGGTCTGGGATACCACCATGCTCCTCAGGAACTCCCTCTCCATGGCGGGGATGCTCAGGACCCCACCCCAGTGGACCATCTCTTTCCACAGAAGACCCATGGGAAGGGATGGAGGCCAGAATGGTGACGTCACCGCAGAAGCAGCATTCATCAACCTCCGGGGCCAGAAAGCCCCTCCTGCCAGGAGCTAGGATCAGTTAGCAATTTTCTCTCAAGCCAGGCTGATGGGGGCAAGAAGGACCCCCCCCCTACGCCTCAGTCACCTCAAGCCTCCACACTGATGTTTCAGTCTGTTCATGGTCCCATGTTGGGGAGGCAGGAGTGCCCTGTCTGACCCAGGCTGTGGCTGCACCCTGTCCTTCGTGGCTCACTGGGTGCTGAACATTGTGCAAAGTACCTTAGACCGGAGCCAAACCTCAGGTCTGTCTGTCTAGGACACCTCTCCCCCAGTTCCTGACATACCTGACCTGTTCCTCAGGAGCCAGTCCTTAGTGTCACCTCCCCAAAGTGGCCTACCCTGAGCACCTAGCGAGAGTAGCCCACCACTCAACTCCGCCGCTCCCTAGCCCCATCCCATTCCACTATCACACTCTGCCTTCTTCCAGAATGGATATTTAGGAAGAGCAGGGACCTTGTCTGGAGCCCTCGCTCCTGAAACAGAGTGGGGGTCGAGAAGCATTTGCTGATGAATGAATTATTTCATGGGATGAGTTCTGAGATTTTTGTTGTTGTTGTTGTTTTGAGACAAGGTTTCTCTGTGTAGCTTTGCGTCTTTCCTGGAACTCACTCTGTAGACCAGGCTGGCCTCGAACTCACAGAGATCCGCCTGCCTCTGCCTTCCGAGTGCTGGGATTAAAGGTGTGTGCCACCATCATCTGGCAGAGTTCTGTGATTTTTTTAAATTAAAACTTTGATATATGGTTTCTATACTATAAAATTCAACTATTTAAGTGTATAACTCAATGTTTGTTTGTTTGTTTTTCATATTGTGAGTGGTGAACCCATTACCATAGTTTAAATTTAGAGGTTTGTTTATTGTCTTTGTGAGATAGGATTTCACTATATAGCCAAGGTTTTCCTAGAACTCAAAATCCTCCTGCCTCAGCATCCCCACTGCCATCCCACCTAACCACCCCCCCTCCCTCCCAAGTGCTGGGATTATGGGCATATGTTGCTGTGTCTAGCTTAAATTTAAAATATTTCTGTCACCTCAGAGAGAAATCCTGCGTCCATCAGCAGTCACCCCTGGGCTTCCCCACACCAGCCTCCAGCCTCAGTCTCCAGCCTCAGTAAGAGTCTGACCTCTTACTCATAGGCTTCCTGTCACTCCAGACCCTCTGTGCTGGCCAGCCCATGTGAATGGTCTCCTACCCTGTGTGGTCTTCCAAGACTCGCCATCTCATGACCAGCACTTTGGCTGCATGAGACACCCTCGTAAGGATGGCTCCACAGGCTCGCCTGCCCCACACTTTATGTACCTGACCCGTCTACTTATGAAAATCTAGTTTATTTCCACTTACTTATTATGAGTAATGTTGCTGGGAACATCCATGTGCACCTTTTGGTGTGGACAAACGTTTTCACTTCCCTTGGGCATATACTGAGGAGTAGAACTGTGGGATTCGTGGTAATGTCCTGTTGAATTTCTGCTGCTGTTTTGTTTTGTTTGAGACACGTTCTCAAGCAGGCCAGGCTGGCCTCAGACATCTTATGTAGTGAAGGCTAACTATGAATCCTGGTCCTCCTGTCTCCATCTCCCAAGGCCTGGGACTACAGGTTTACACCGCTTTGCCTGGTTTTCAGATGTTTTTAAACGAGAGCCTCTCTGGTGCTGAACTCCCAGCAGGACGCTGGCGTAGGTTTGTGACATGCTGAAAGGTGAGCAAGCTGTTGAAGGGGCAGAGTGAGGCCATCAGAGCCCAGCCCGGAGAGGGGAACTGATGGTACTGTGTTCCAGGGACTGCAAGTGACTGGAGACCCAAGTGGACGTCCAGCTGGCTATGAGGAAGATGTGAAGATTCAGTTTGCTACAAAGGTTTCTAGGAAGGGTTCTTAGCTGGGACTAAGCAGCATGGGACTTGAAGGTAAGAGAGGATTAGATTTAAAAGATAAGAAAGGTGTCAATTGGCATATGTAGATATCAAGCCCTCAGCTTAGTGCAGAGGAGAAGCCGTGGGGAGGCTCGGAGATGTTGGAGATCTCAAATCATCAATCTACTGATGCCCCAAGATAAGGGGGTTCCCAACTGCCCGAGGTGGTTAGACAGGTCCCACAAACCAGGGGGGGGAAAACCAACAAAAAACAAAACCCTAACCCTTTGTGTAAATACTCCTTACCTGTCCTGTCAAATCACATGCCTAGTCACCCTGCCAGCCAGGTGGCTTCCCATGTCTCTTCTCTAGATTTCCTCTGTGTGCTAAACCAGATTTTCCTAGGGGGGGCTCCAGTGCAGCTTCTGGTGGCCGCTCTTCCTCTGCTGGCCCTGCAGATGGCCTCCTTCAAAGGCCAAGCTCTTTGTCTCTGCTAAGGTCAGGGAGGAAGGCTGGTGTTGCCCTGAGGACCCATTCCAATGCCTGCGCTAGGCATCTAGAAGGCTCCCTGTGGCCCAGAGCCCTTCCATTAGGCAGTAGATAGGCCCTAAGCAGAACCCTAAAGCAAAGCATCTGGTGTATCAGTTTCCCCCACACCCTCTCTACAGCTGGCCCTGGAGATTTGTTAAGGCAATCCCCCATTCCCAGTGCCAGCCTGGCACACTGACTGGTAATCACTTACACTGCAAAGCATTTCCTTGCAGGAACATTAGCATTTCAACAGACAGGCAAGGCTGTGCTCCACACATTAGAGGCCACGCCTGGACTGGTGGGGCTTCTGTTCAGTTCACTTCAGGGGTGTGAAGGGGGAGACTGCTCAGAGTTAGCCCGTTGAGGGACATCATTGCTGACACTCAGGATCTCCCTCTTTCCCATCAGAGCCCTGCTTTGCTATGTGTCAAAGAAAACGGTTCTTGGTGACATTTTGTCTTGAAGCTGTGGAGGCTGAAACTCGGAATTGAAAGCCCAGCCCCAGAGCCCACCTGGCTCTGAAAGATCTCAGCAGGAAACCCAGAGGCCTACATGGCCTTGCCAGGCACAGTCCTAGCTCAAGAGAACTCAGCCCCATGAAGACTGACAGGGTAACCATCTCCAGCACAAACCTTAGCTACAGGGCAGCCATTGACACACATACGGCAGGAGCCGTTTCCAAGGCACATGGGGACTGCAGGCAAACGCCCACATTCAAACCCTGGGGCCGTGTGATGTGGGACAAAGTCCGTTCCCCCTTCTCCTTCCTTCCTTCCTTCCTTCCTTCCTTCCTTCCTTCCTTCCTTCCTTTCTTTCTTTTTCTTTTTTCTTTTTGGCTGCTTGAGACAGGGTCTTGCTATGTAGCCCAGGCTGGCCACCAACTCAAGATTCTCCCGACTCAGCCTCCAGAGATCTGGGATTACCACACCTGGGTGAATTTCTTAACCACGCTGTGTCTCTGCTTCCTCGTGTATAAAACAGGGACAAGTACCCCTCTACAGGGTTTGTGGTGAAATTTAAGTGAGTTGGTAGAAGAACTGAGAACAGCCCTGGCACAGGCTCAGGAACTGCTGTTGATATCGCTGTGGTTTCCTATTCAGAGCCCGGGGTGGATAAGTAACCTAGAGAGAGGAACGCGGCCAGGGAGAGACGGCCCACTTGGGTGTGTATTTCTTCCCATTTCAGAAAAGCCGGCTTGCCAACCTGCCACTCAGAATGATCCTCATTCTTCTTCCTGTTTATGCTACCTACGTTCCTAAAAAGTGCTAGGAAGGAGAGCTTCTCCAAATCCGCAGGACACAACAGAACATCTGTGAGGGTTAGGAGCGTGGCCCAGCGGCGGGGAGCTTGCCTGGCACACCTGTATCCCCCGGTTCCAGGCCCAGCACCCCCAAACAAGGACAGATTCCCTCCTCTGACAGTCAGAGATATTCCCTCTTCCTTCTCCTTAATTTTTTAGGCTGAACAGATCTTTGGAATCCCTGCATATTGGATCCTATCCCAAACCCACAGAAACACTGATAGGCACAAGACTTGCTTCCGAGAGAATTCTTGCCTTTGCAGGAGAATGTGGGGGAAATGAGATTCGTCACTCTCCAGGTGCTGAGGGGTGGCAGGCTCTGGGTGGCTTAGATTGGGGTCCTCTTTATGTTGACCTCTGCACTGCATCTTCCCACAGCTGCACACCTGGAGGACTGAGCCCTAGCGCCCTGTGGCCCAGAATGGCCCCTACACACGGTTTTTAAGTCATTTGTCTGGTGATAGACCTCCCAGGCGTGGTTTTGCAATCCAGGAGGAGTTAGGAAGACCACACAGCAGCCTCTGGTCTGCAAGCCGTTCACATCTCAGCTCTAGGTCCCTGCTCCCGACTGAACAGAGAGCGAAGGCTGCCGCCTTTCCAAAAGAGGGGCTCCTACACAATCAGCCAGGAGGATGGTGCTCTGCGTGGCACCCCAAGGGTGCCATTCCGAGTGCCAGAGAGCGATCAGAGCTCTGTCCTGGCAGAGGCCACGGAGGAGTAACAAGGCGGAGGGGTACAGAGGGGGACCCTGGGTACCAGAGGTAGACGATGGATGGAAGGCTCTATACTTTTCTATCTGGCCCTCGTTATGCGCGTCTCAGATTCCCAAGGTGGCTCAGCCTCCCGCAGGCCAGCGCTACAGCCTTGCCTGGCACCCTCAGGGGCACCCCAGGGGCCCACCACCTAGGTAAGGGGGATCACCTGTGTCAACTGCCGTGGAGCTACTCTTAGTGGAACCAGCATGGGCTCCTGTTCAAACCAAAGGCCAGCCCTGTCACGGAGAACTGCCCCCCTGAGCTGGCACCACCTCAGTGCCAATCCCGGTGCTGGGGCTACAGAATCTTAAGAGGAGCAGCGAAATAAGGGTCCTACGTATCTCGGCACATTCCATCACTCCTTGGCTGGTGGGCTTGGTGAGCGAGGGTGGACCGGTTTTAAGCTCTCTTGGGGGTGAGTGAAGACAAATACATAGCCCAGAAGTCACCTTCAGTCCCGGGAGAGCTTGTGGTGGGGGAGGGAGGCAGCCCCTGGGCTAAGAACCGGCCCAGAAGGGCAGGTGGTCACAGCTGCGGGGCTGTGGAGGGGAGCGCGGGCGCGACACTCACGTCCTCTTGAAGACGCCCCCGAGGGCGCTGCCCAGCAGGAGGCAGAGCTGCTGCGAGAAGAAGACCCAGGAGATCTGGGGCAGCGAGCTGTGCGTTTGGCAGCGCAGGTCCAACAGCGTGGGCCCCAGGAAGGCGATGCACAGGCCGAAGCTGAAGAAGACGCTCCAGTAGGTGAGCGTGGGCTGCAGGTTGCGGCGGAGCAGCCCCGACACCCGGCCGTCGCAGCCCATGGCTCGGCCGGCAGCTCGCAGCTCGCCCAGGGCCGAGTGCGCCGGTCGACCGGAGGCCGGGCGGGAGGAGGAGGAGGAGAAGAGAGGAGGGGAGCGCCGCGCAGCTGCCCCGCCCTCGGCCAGCGCGGGGACGCCTGGCGGTCGGGGGCGCCGCGGACGCACGTGTCCCGCCGCGGGGACAGCCCCGCCTCACCTCGCGTCCCCGGCCCCCCCCCCCCCCGGACTGGAACCTACGGAGGAGCACGGCCCGCCGGCTCGCGTGCCCAACGCTCCGCGAGCCCTACAGGGCAGCCTTTCCTCTTGGCGACCTGAATCCTCATCGCTTGATCCTGGGGATGCTGCAGGTGGACTTGGAGAGTCTGCCAGCGCCGCCCTCTATCCCCATCCCTGCCCCCCGCGCCCCACGGGAGACAAAGTCTCATGTGAACATTGTTTTTTTGTGGCTCCGTTTGGAACCTCAAGGGGCTCAGCATATTGTCCTTTGGGAACAAACCGCCCCCCTCCTCCCCCAAACTTGGGTCTTCCTTTAGCTGCATTTAGGTTCTGGGATTGATCCCAAGGCCTACAGCATGGTACGCAAGTATCCCCAGTGCTTAGAAACTTAGGTCTTCTCCACTCTAAGATTGGGGATAGGAGAGCAACACCCACACCTGTCCTGTCGCAGGTGGCATGCAGGAAAACCAGGTTCTGATGGAGACTCTGTCTCTTCCCAGTGCAGTGAGGGAGGGCAGAAACCCTGGGACTCCTGGAGTAATTCTGAGGTAATCCTCCAGAGAGAGTTCTCTTTCCACTTGAACAGGTCTGCGTGGGGTGAAGGGGCTTGTTTACACCCCTGGACCCTGCTGCAGACCCAAGTGGCCCTGGATGACTGTGTGTGTGTGTGTGTGTGTGTGTGTGTGTGTGTGTGTGTGTGTTCCTGCTCCTGAAGGAGCTGGGATGTGGTGCCTGTACCAGAACCTGGAGCAGAGCAGTCAAGCCCTCAAGTGTCTCCTTCACCGCGTGTTCTGGTGGTGGGGATTGTGACATCGGTGCCCACATGTATCCAGGGGTACCAGGACTGAGAGTTCCCAGAAAGTGTTTGGCTGAGTGACCCCCATGACCACTTGGTATGAAGTGGAGACAATCAACTTCTCTTGTAGACACGACACCTCAAAGTGCTACCCCATACCTGTTTCATCCTGTCCTGGACCTGTCCTGTCCTGGACTGTATTCATCAGAGGAAGCCTCCAGTAAGTGTCCCTCTGTTTCAGTCACTGTGGGTGCTGGCGAGGATTAACTTAATGGGGGTAAGGGTGGGCTTTAAGGACTTGGAATAAAGTACAAAGTCACCATTTGGAAAACAAACAAACAACAACAACAACAAAAAAAACTCGTAATCAATACTTTTGAGTCCTCTCAGCCACTGTTATAAAATTTTAGACAATAGGAGCTCAGAGATGGAAAGGGTGACCTCTGGTTCAGAGCTCTACATCCTCCCCGATGTCCCAGTGATAGCTGGACCACTTTGTCCCTGACTGCCATTTCTACTGATGGAGAATTTGCTTGTCAGTTTCTTCTTCTCCTCCTCCTCCTCCTCCTCCTCCTCCT